CCATTTAAAACATAGTTCAGTTGCAAGTTCCTTAGTCATCCATCCTAGGTTCTTGAGACACTTACCATTTTTCCTCCTCGTTGGCACGGTTTGAAATTATGCCTTCAGTATCTCCCTATAAAATGAATTTCTAACCCCCCCCCCCAAAAAAACCCCAAAGTTTTAAAAGGTGCCAACAAAAAGAATGAGTAATAACAAAATTACTTTTCAATTATAACAAGTAATGTGGATTGATTACTTCTTTTTAATGTAACTTTTCAAAACTCTAAAGTAGTCTGGAATATGAGAACAATGAGAACATAAGCTATATGGTTGGGAAGCTGTGCGTTTACATCTGAGTCTATACTGATTTCTTCACATAATTCTTCTTCCAATGACATTTTCCTCCAGCCCCCAAATTTCTAGCATTGCAATAAATTAAAATTTCAGTTGAACATTTAGAACAGAGTGTAGGCATTCAAAGAAAAGGACCAGGCAAAATTACCAAGGGAATGTGAAGACATCAATTTTAAGGGTTATAGATATGAATGGTTTTGACTGTCTCACACTCTGCAATGCTAGAAGTTTGAGGACTGAAGGAAAATTTCATTTGAGGAAGGTAGGTTTCTTATCTGAACAGGCAATGTCTTTATTTACTGCAATCCCTTGCAGCTACGCCTATGCTATTTTTGTGGCCATTCCAAAGTGCCTGTTTGCAATGTGCAGCACATTTTAACAGCCATATAAAGAAGCATGACTTTTTGTCCCTATTTTAGTAGCAGGAAACTCAGTCTGACACTATCAAGTGAATCCATGGCTGAGGTAGGACTTAAACCCATAAGTTGCAACAGCTATATGCTGAGCACCAGCTTACAGTAAATTACCCCAAATACTTCTAAATAACTGTATTATACTGCCAAGGGAAGCCATTATGTTGCATTAGTCTGGCTGGCATACATGTTTCCTCTACAAATGAAAAGTGCAATTAGGATGGTAGATCATGTGAAATCAGCAGCATGAGCCTCTGTCAGGCTGAACAGATACAGTTAATCTCAGGGAAGTGACAGATTGTTGCCTTAACAGGTCAGATGGTAACTGTAAATCTCTCCTGGAGAGCCAGCTTTCAATGTGAGGAAGTGAACTGCACAGTGGGGCCTTGCTAAATTGTACTCTCTGGCACAGAGAATTAAGCTGCCTGTAAAGTCTGTTTTTAGAAGTTCATCAGCTGTAAATCTCTTCTTATTAATGAGGGTGACAACGAGAACCCATGTTTATTCCCCTCTTAGCTGTATTAATTATAAGATACAAGGTTTCTGAGATCCTTTTGAAAGTAATAGAAAAGTAAGGAGCCAGCATGGCGTAGTGGTTTTAGCACTGGATTATGACTCTGAAGACTAGGGTTAAAATCCCTGCTCAGCCATGGAAACCTACTGGGTGATCTTGGGCAAGTCACACACTCTCAGCCTCAGAAAAGCCAGTGAAAGATTTGCCTTAGGGTCAGAAATGACATGAAGGCACACAACAACAAATAAAAGTATGGAAATCAGGTTGAGAGCATTTGGGTAAAAATTAAAGGAGAGTGAATACAGCTAAAAATTAAAATTTACAAATCATATACAAATTAAAATTTAATTAAACTGTCAGAAAATTGAAACCCAATTAACATAACCATAGCAAATAAACCAACAAACAGAAAATACAATTGCCCCTCCATTTTAGCAGACTTGAAATCCATGGTCTTGATTACTCATGGAGGGGTGATCCCCATTGGTTAAAATGGTGTGCACACCTGTTGCATGTGCATAGGGCCACACATGGGAGTGCATGCCCATTCAAGCCAATTGGGCTTGAATATGTGCAAGTTTTTGTTTTTATGGGGGTAAGGTGGTCTGGAATGGATCCCCCATGAAAACGAAAGGGCAATTGTATGCACATTATGTAAGGCCTTTTCCCCTTGAGCAATCAATTTTCAAAGGCCTGTTCTGTCTGCTTGGTGTTTGACTTTAAACTGAATTAAGAATAACTGAAGTTTTACCCTTTATTTTCTTATACCCAATCAACAGAAAATAATCAGTGAAAGTTCTCCTTCTCTATCCTCTGTCCTGGAGCAAGTTGGTTTTCTGCAGCTCCTGAGAATAGAAACCATAGCAATGGATAAAAAAAGATTCTACCTCAATATTAGGAAGAACTTCTTGACAGTATGAGCTGTTCAGCAGTTGGATGCACTGCCTTGTAGTATAGTGGAGTCTCCTTCTTTGGAGGTTTTTAAACAGAGACCGGATGGCCAGCTCTTGGGAGTGCTTTGATTCTGTGTTCCTTTATGGCAGGGTGTTGGACTGGATGACCTTTGAGGTATTTTCTAACTCTATGATTTTATGATTCATAGGAAGAGCATATCTTGTTTTGGAAATGTCTGTGTAGACTTCTGGGTTGAAATGATGGAATGAAGACAAGCCCTACAAGTGTTCTGCTGCAGGACAAGATGCTTGACACAGTATTTGCTAGTCAGGAGGAACCATGACTGATGAAAGATTCCCCAATAATATAAGCAGACTAGAGGATTACTTCTGATCCTGGTGACTCAACTACCATAGAACCATAATGAGCAAGTGCCAGTCGAAAGGAGAGAACTGAGATTGTAACCTTGCCCACTACATCATTAGTCACTTGATGATGGGCACAGGCTCTGTGGAATCAACTTTTCTAAAGTAAAGCAGATAAAAATAGACACATTTTTTTACAAAAGAGTACTTTTTTTTTAAAAAAAAATAACTTTTATAATGCACATACCCATTTAATGATGTTAAAGAACAAGATATTAAAATACAAAATTTTTGCTACCCACTGGATACTCAGTAAGGATTGAACCAGCTTGACTTAATGAATCCATTCCATAACTGAGCTGCTGGCACTGGAAAAGTTCTGATTGTATACCCATGCACAGGTGATGGGGCAGGGCACAACAGGGCTTCTGTTCAGATTTCACTTTTTAGGCAGGCTCATATGGGAAGAGAAGGTCTTTCAAATATCTTTTATCAACCTGTTAAGGGATCTGTAGGTCAAAAATAGCATCTGGACCTCAGCTTGGATGCAAACTGGAGACCAGTGTGGATTAGTGGCATGTTGTTTCTAAAATACACATCAAATTCTTCTTTTCTGCTAGCTGTAGCTTCTGAACGCATTTCAATGGCAGTTCTGTGTGCAGTGCATTATGGCAGTCTAACTGGAAGATAATCCAGATTGCATCGGCACTGCAGAAATAATACAGCAGGGGTAGGCAAACTTTCCCCTTTAAGGGCCGAGGGACTTCAGCTCCCAGAAGCCTCAGCCATGTTGGCCAATAGTACCATATTGGCCAATAGCTCCTGGGATTCTGGGAGCTGAAGTCCCTCGGGCCTTAAAGGGGAAAGGTTGCCTGCCCCTGTAATACAGCTTGAGACTGGTTTTAGATGTTACGGTTCCATCCTATGAAATCCTGGGATTTGTAGTTTGGTGTGGCACCAGGGCTCTCTAACAGTAAAGCCTAAATATCTCACACAAAATGTAGTTTATGTAGTTTATGATTATTGGGGATGGAGAGTCAACACTCCTATTAGAAGTGACTGAAATTTGTCCAAAAGTCTGTTGTACAAGCAATTACATATGTCCCTGGATAAGCATCAAGAAGTTTGCCACAGGTGGGCTAAACTGATGTAAGCAATGGAAAGAAAGCTTGATTTCTTTCTTTCACTGTATTTGATGACATCAGCACTGAAAAACTATCAATAGCTTTTATGGAATCCGAGAATTCCATAGCATTGAGCCGTGGCAGTTAAAGCAGTGTCAAACTGCATTATTTCTGCAGTGCAGATGTAACCTAAGGCATACAACACCTGGCCAATTTTGCATTCTATGAAAGGGTGATTTTAAACAACAACAACAACAACCAATATGAGAGAATGCAATACTGAGCCATATTGCCACCCAGACCCAGGGATTCCAGTCCTTAATGCTTAACAATTTGGGTTTTAATTTCTGAGAGACTTTTCATGTTTAACATCAACATGTCAGGAAATAAAAGATGGAATAGTTGTAGCTACTGAAGTTGACCAATGCAGATGAAATATATCTAAGGGTGTCTGTGTTGGCCATGTAGCAAAGTACAATAACATCCAAAATCCACAAAACAGTGATATCTTTATTGGACCAATCAAAATGCACAAAATATATGTTGCAAGCTATCAAAGCTCCACTGGCTTCTTCATCAGGCAAAAGTGTTAAAAGTCATACAGGGGGGAAAATATGATGATGTTAGTCACAAGCCTGCATTTTGTCAAGATGTGGCTGTTTTCAGTTCAGGTGGTATGGAGGCACATTCATGCAGGCCAGCCTCTCCTCCTTCTGGCCATATGGCTACTACAGGAAATAAAATTTACATTCCATTAGCAAGACAAAAAGAGGTCTCTTCTTGAGATTTAAGTTGCTTCCATCCTTCTGGAAGCTACAAGCTCCTTTGTTGGGCAAAGAGAACTGCATTTCTAAAGAAGCCCTCCATGTTTTTGCAGATGAAGGAGAACTTCATTTTAGATCTTTTTTGAAGAATATGAGGACATAGGATTTGCAAATGTTCTTCTATTTGGAAAGGTAGAAACTTGAGATTTTTTAAACAATTGAACATAGAGAAGGGGTTTATTCAACAGATGTTTCTGTTCCTCCTCTGTCATTCCTTTAAGCAAGATGTGTTTTTGTGGTGTGGAAACTACAATGGACAATTCTAGATAACTGCCAGAAGTGATCCATATGGAATGCATTATCAAACAGTTCTTTCCATACCACAGTTCTGGGCTTCTTCTGTTGTTTATTACATGCTGTCTAAGAAACACAACAAAGAAAGGTCATTCTGAAGATTAAGCAACTCCAAGATAACAAGGGTTTCCATTTGTCATTTTCAGTATTAAAAGCAGTGGGATTTCCCCCCACAAACATGGCCTGATGTTATTCATTTTAATTTGCTACCTCCTTGAAGGTGAATTTAATACCATTCATACATTTTCATTTACAAATTTGTCAGTAATAAGATAGCTGGCACATGGGAGAAAGTAGCTGCATAATTGCAACTTACACGCTTGTCTTACTGAAAAACTGCTAGCTCAGGAACCGCCTGTGCCTGTGCTCCATGCATGAAATTGCAAATAGAATTTAATTTGCCCTTGTATCCTGTAGGATCAGCTTAAAATGATTAATGCAGGAAAGAATGTTGTCAAGCTTTTATTCATTACAATCTCAGAGGACCACAGTGCAAAACCATCATGTATAACATGGTAATATATGGAACTCTTTTCTGAACTACTTTCTTAACACAAACAATCATATTTCTGCTATTTAATTCCATACCTGAAGCATGCAGAAATGCATTCATTGTGTGTTACTCTGATCTCCTGGACAGTTGGAAATGTAATTTGTTAGAATTTATATCATTTAAACAGGCTATTTCTAGTGTAGCACTTGAGAATCTAATATTCCAAAAGTTCCCAGCATGCAACAAGGCTGCAACAGCTCAGAGACTCACAAGTCAAATCCTTATATTCGCACTTTGTTGACAGTTTAAGAAACAGAAGAAAACCCATTGTTTGAGAAGAACCTCAAGTGTTCAGTTGGCTTGATTGCTTGGGGGCAAGAAATATGAACATCTGTACTACTGTCTTTGATTACAATAATCCCTTGTTAGCCTTGCTTTCCCCTTCCTTTCTGTCCTTCCTACATTAGGGGTGGTCAACTTCGCAAGGGAAGAGGCAACTTTCATCCCCATGACCCTCCAGCTGCATCATTATGCTGAGGCACAAATGATTTTATTTTGTTTGTTTTTTGTTTACCTTGCGGTCATCCTTAGGTGAAAAAAATAACCTAAATTCAGGTTGGTCAGAGTCTTTAGAGGATTGCTTAGGGGATCCAGGGCAGCAAAAAGTGAAGCTTGGAGTTGCCTAAAGCCCACTTTACATTACTCTTTCTCCACATTGTCATTTTTTAAAGATACTTGTAGCACAAACATATATTTTTTAAAATTTAAGAGAAAAAGAATGATTGATGATTTATGATTATGGTGGTGGTGGTCATCATTATCGTTATCATAATCATCACCTAGGCTTGCCTAAAATATGGAATGATGGACTATTAATAGGCTGCTAATTCAATTAATGTTTTAAAAGGAAATAATCAGCAGACACGCTTTTACTACCCAGGGGCCACATGTAGCTCCTGAAGCCCCCAAAGACTCAGACCCCTCAATCTTCCCTCCCAACAACCAAAGTGGGTCAAAACCATTGCAAGATGCAAAAACACCTCTGAAGATTCCTTGCCTAAGAAAATCCTATGAAATTCATGTTGACAGGTGATTGAAGGCAGAGAGAAAGAGAGAGAATTGTCAATGATGATAGTGAGTGT